TAACTTTAACTTTAACTTTAACTTTAACTTTAACTTTAACTTTAACTTTAACTTTAACTTTAACTTTAACTTTAACTTTAACTTTAACTTTAACTGTAACTTTAAATGGTTTTCAAAAATATTATTCACTTATTTTCAATCGCCTATGCAAAGACAGTTAACCAATCCCCTTATTTTTTAAGGTCATCATTGTCATTTTATTGCTTAATCAAATATTCCAACCGAAAATTTTCACATTTTTTCAATAAATTATTAAAAACCACATACATATAAAACCATGTATACATAAGTTGGGTTATATTTATGTATTATATATATATATTTATACATATGTATAAATGTAATATTTTCTCATTTTAACCATTTTTTGTTCAAAAATTTACTACAGATGCATCTAAACATTGCAGTTGATTGAATATTCAATTGGCCATGGTAAAGGGAATTAGATATCAATTTGCAAATTTTAAATTTATAATAATCTAGATTCAGTATATAGTCAAGCCAGTACTTACAACTTAATGTGTATATATGTTTCCATTTAATATGAATATGGATATATATATATTTATTCTAATTTATATAATCGGTTTGTGCATATGTGATAGCTCTGCGTTAAATAATGTATAATTAGAATGCTGTTCGTAATGGTTAACCGCCTCATATAATAAACCCAGTAGCAAGTGCGCTAGTGGTATATCAATTTTTCGATCGTATGAATATTATAATATAATTGTGTATTTGTATATAAAATGAGAAACCATTGAGCTAATTTCGTTGAAATATTCCTCCGCTAGATAGCGCTGGAATTAAGATAGACGACATAGCAATAACCCTAACGGAAGCATAATTTTGGTCCGATTTCATTCAAAATCGGACTTATTACTTTAAAGTGCCTGTGGTGACCTTTATTCAACCAGTATTCGATACTAATCCCACCAAGTACAAAATAATAACGTTCTAGAATATCATTGCCCGAAATTCCGAAATCCTCTCTCATTTCGACTGCATGCCTGATACTTGGACCACTGCGGCGCGAAACCTACTCCTATACCACCAAAAGATATGTGGGTCAGGCAGAGTCGCTGGAGAAGAGGCGCAGTGATCTTTTCGACCGAAGCTCAAGCGGAAGATATAGGAGTAAGTCTTCTGTCGTTAGCTTCAATCAACTCTTTTTTCTGACTGATAGGCCACTTTATTGACTCTCAAGCAGAAGTGGTAGCTATAAAATTAGCACCGGATATACTTCTTTGAAGTCCGGCTTTCATTAGGGAGGTGCGCATTCACTCCGATGACAGAGAGGATTTACAGGGCTTGAACTCGCTGACTGTAAACTTAAGACTAGTTAAGGAGTGTATGATCTCCCTAGCATTAACATCAAGCTGCTGCCATATTAAACTTGTCTGGGTGTTTGACCGCAGCGGAAGTGTTGGAAATTGCAAACCCGATGAGCTTGCAAAAAACATCAATACGCAAATTCCAACAGCATGGGAACGAGCAGAGATTCTTCTATCTTCGTGTATAGGGATGCACTTTTGGTGTTGCAAAAAGCCTTCTGACCTAGAGTGGAACGGTAAAAGGTCCATTGTAAAATAAAGCTCACATCGTCGTATGATAGACGTATTGTCTGGATACCCATTGTCACCCACGACATGAAAAAATTTTGCTATACGAAACTTGTCTAAGAGGTAATGAAGGAAATGACGTTTAAATATCCATATACTTTTTTCACCATTGTCCGGACTCCGTTTTACTAAGATTTAAGCGATTACCACATGTTTACGAAACTGACGAATTGGCTGGAATTGATACTGCCTCCCTCAATAAATATGTGGCGGGCTCTAGGCGTTTTGTTGATATGTGACGGTCTACTACTAGAAAAGATCATATCTAGCTGTCCAAGTGAGAATTTTTTCGTGTCCTTACAGTAATAGTTCTTAACTAATTACCACGGGACTAATTCTAACTTAACAAAATAATACCGTTACAAATAGGGTTACTTGCATTTTCACGCCAACACCCACACCCACACATTCAACACGAAACCGCGCAGAGATAGCTTAATACAAATTATTACTCTGGGCAATGGATAAATCCTCAGCAGAACTCCACTGCGGACAACCACAACCGATGACTTAATTACGTGCCATACCCACATATACGTCTACATACATATCTGTGTGCCGTATGGAAATGCGAATGTGTGCGTTGATTAAATTTGTTCGATTTTAATTTGACATATGGATGTCAATGGCAAACTTTTGAAATATGCAATCAAAAATATATTGAAAGTACAGTTCACCTTTTGTCTATTTGTGTGTGTGTGTGTGAGTGGAAATATACACTGATAAGCCCAAAAGAGTAATTATCATTGTCGTGGTCAGTAAAGCAAAATTAGTGAAATTCGCAAAGCCAGTGGCCGGAAAAAATCCAGCTAATTTCCATTATTGAATTACAACTGAAGAGCTCAACTGATGAACTAACAGGCTGGGAGATTAGTTTGCAGCAGCAAGCCTCATATTTCAAGCTTATGCAATATATGGTATATGTAAATGTGTATATGTATTCACGTATGTATGTAGATATGTGTGCTTGTTTGTCCCATTGACAGCTGTTGGGCTGATAAGCAATTATTGCTTTGGCGCTCGGCGCAGCTGCCGTCCGTTCGTCGAAGTT